ACAGCACTGTGTATGAGGAGTCTGCACTGTGCCCAGTGACATGTATCATGTATCTCACAGTCAGTGTCTTCCTAAGACAACTTTAAAGTAAGCCTTAACACTGATAGGGTAAATGTTCTCCACTCATCAGGCCTTTATTCTTCCCAACAGTTTAGAACTGACTTGTCACATTCCCCATAAAAACCTTATAGAGTCTTCCTAGCCAAAAACACTACTTATTTGAGACTTCTTTAATACTTCTTAATAAAACTGTAAATTTTTCTCCATCAAAAATTTTAGGTTGGGATATAGTATGGTGATAGAAGATGTAATTAGCATGTGTGAGGCCCTGGGTTCTAACCCTAGCACTAATGAAGAACAACAAATTTACACATTTTTAATTCCTATTTATATCAAAGATGGTTCCATTAGGAAAACAGAAACCATGCCAGGCATTTCACTTTATTTATTTATTTTCTGGCAGCACTGGGGTTTGAACTCAGGGCCTCACGCTTGCTAAGCAGGTGTTCTTACCACTTGAGCCACCCCACCAGTCCCATGCTAGGCATTTCAAACACAAAGTGGTTTACTACAGGAAATTAGATGCTTTTAAAACAGAAGGAAAGGCTACTGTGAGAATAAAAATAAAGTAGGCTACCACTAACCTTCTGCACCTCTGAAGCCACTATTGCTTCTGGGATGCATGAAATTGCTGGCAACAACACAGGTGCTCTACAGCACTGAGACAGCTCATCAGTGGGGGAATATGGAAGCCCCTGCAAAAACTCATCTAACCCATGCCCCACAGCACTGCCAGAGGAAGAAAGCTTTCTACCTTTCCTGAGATGCATCTCCTTGGCCAAAACTTTGATGGCAGGGAATTCTGAGTGCTATGGCTCTAGCTTATTAGCCTCTGAAATATAGAAAGAGCCCAGAAGGGAGTGGGAAGACACACAATGCATTTTCTCCACCACCCACCATGGTTTTTTGTTTGTTTGTTTTAAAGACAATTTTCTTAAGTAGCTGACCTTGAAGCCATCCTCCTGTTTTAGCCTCCTGAATGCTGGGATTACAGGTGTGTGCTGTGAGGTGTGACTCCTACCACTCATTTCTCATCTTTAAAAACATGTTGAGCAGGGTGCAGTGGTGCCCATAATGCCAGCTACTTGGGAGGCAGAGTGTGGAAAGATCACTGTTTAAGGCCAGTATGGGAAAAAAGTTGGGAAGACCCCCCGCCCCGCCCCAATCTCAACAAACTAACTGGGTGTAATGGGGTTCATACCTGTGATCCCAGCTAGGTGAAAGGCATAGATAGGAGGACTGCAGCCCAAGGCTGGCCCCGGGCAAAAACTCAAGACCCTATTCAAAAAATAACTAAAGGAAAAAGGGCTGGGGGCATGACTCAAGTGGTAGAGCACAAAAGAAAACATGCTGAAATTACTGGTCTCTTACTGAAATTACTGATGTTCTCTCATTTTCTTTGTTTCTGAGGTTTTATATATTTATAAAACTTTTTTTTTTAGCATGTTTTGAGAAGAGCAATGAAGTAAGCTCGTATGTTTGTTCCAGAAGCCTTGAAGTCTACATTCAAAGACTGAGCATGGCTAGGGCTTTCCACTGGGCTGTTTAAACTCTCCCTACACATAGAAGGCCACACCTTTTAGAACACAAGCAGTTATCCACTAACTCCTACTCCCTCCCATAAAAGGACTTTCTTCTTTTTTTTTTTTTTTTCTTGGAGGTGCGTGTGGAGGGAATATTAATGAGGCCTTGACTCCATAATGTGTTTTTTCTTTTAAATTTATTTTAAAATAAATTAGAAAAAAATGATGAAATTTCTAACAGTTATTACTTCAAGGAAGTGAGAAAATAAGTACCGTGTATTCTTTGTGTGTACGTGTATGTGTTGGGGGTGGGGCAGTACTGGGGTTTGAAAAGAACTATGAGAAATCAATCAGCTCCCTCACAGATTGTGAGCTGGCACCACAACACAAGCACAGACACAGGAATAAAGGGGAAGCCAGGTGAAACCCAACACGCTGGCCAGAGTCTTGGCCCTCCTCAACCACACCCAGGCCCTGGCATTCTCAGTGCCTCTGTACACACCATTCCTGGTTGCTGTGTACCCATTGCTTAGATCCTGGAGCAGGCCACCCATTCACAACATTGGGCTTCTATGAGATGCATTTTATTTTTCTGTCTGGGGAAAATATACAGCAACCTCCACACAAGTGAAGAGCTGATGCCACCTCTGTGCCAGGCCATGTGGTATGGAAGAGAAATCAGACCTAGCTAGCCCTTCCCTTCAACAAGACCACAGTGCACAGAACAAGATGACAAGCAAAAGTGTGGCTACTATTTTTTGCAGCATCTACAACAGTATCTGTAAAGTTAAAGTGAAGCCAAATGGCACTTTGAGAACAACAAATAAGCAGTGTTTCCATCTAAAAGGAAGTCAAGAACTAGGTCTTTGGTTCTTTGTTCAGAAAATTTTCCAAAAAGTTGGATATAAGGTCTCACCCTAAGAGCAGCCCTGGGGAAGCTTCACTCAGGGTCTTTGGTCCTCCCTGGGATGACCAGTCATAAAGCCTTTGCATCCCATCTGCTGGGAAGTCTACTGTCTGTGGGCTTTGACTCAAGGAACCAGTCATAGACATAGGCTGGTCCCAGAGGGTCCTGACCAGGCCATCATTCAAATGCTTCCTTTGAAAAGGCAGACAATTCCACCAGAGACATAATGACCTGATGATGGAAAAAAAGCTCAGGAGATGATCAGGAGGTCCCCCTCTTAACTACATGGACCAGGCCATCTCTCCTGTTTTTTAAGAGATGGGGTCTTGCTGGGTGTCAGTGGCTCACACCTGTAATCCTAGAAACTTGGGAGGCTAAGATGGGGAGGATGGCAGTTTGAGGCCAGCAAATAGTTCATGAGACCCCATCTCCAAAATAATCACAGCAAAATAGAATGGAGATGTGGTTCAAGTGGTAGAGTGCCTGCTTTGCAAATACAAAGCCCTGAGTTCAAATTCCAGTCCCACCAAAACAAAAAACGACAAAGAAAGAGGTGGTTGGGGGGAGAGGGGAAGGCAGGCAGGCAGAGGAAAAGGAGAAAGGGGAAAGGAAAAGGAAAAAGGAAAAAAAAAAGAAGAAAAGGAGGAGAGGGAGAGGGGCAGGAGGAGGGGATTAGAGAGGGAAAAAGAAAAAGACGCCTCAAACTCTTGGGCCCAAGTGATCCTCTTGCCTTAGCCTTCTGAGTAGCTGGGACTACAGGTGCATCCCACCACACCACAACAAGCTCTGGATCTTATTTTGGAACCCCCTCAAGGAACTGGGCCAAGCTCAACTGTTACCTTCTATTGGACATACTCCCTGATGCCCCGGTGGAATGAATCTGTTCTCCTTTAGCACCTGGCCTCTAGGAATTACAGCACACCTTCTACATCCTAGGCCAGGTCCCACCAAGGAAGGAGAAAGTCTCTTGCACTTGGAAGTTCATGGACTGGAAGGAGAGAAATGGTGAGAATTAACCAGCGGCTCTAGAAGTCATGTAGGAGGACCTATCGGGTGTTGGCAGGTGACTCAGCCAGAGTAAGACAGACACCCTTGCACTGTAGCAGCAGCATGTGAGCCAAGTCTTGAAGCATGGCAGAGTTTATTTAAGTAGAAACAGAACAAGGGAATTCCAGGAAAACAGAAAGAAATAAAGGAAGCATGCAACTACAAAATTGTTAATGGACTAGGTATAGGAAACAGTTCAGCTGAACTACTGAAGGGAAAATAGTGATATATCAGGTTGGCAAAGAAGAATTATGCCAGCTCATAAGGAATCTAAAATGTCAGACCTGAGTTCAACCCTGGGATTCTTTGTTGGGGGCGGGGGGGGGGGTTGGGAGGGGTGGTACCAGGATGTGAACTCAGGGCTTTGTGCTTGCTAGGTAGACACTCTACTACTGAAGCCACGCCCCCAACCCCTTTCCTTTAGCTATTTTTTGGACAGGGTCTAGCATTTTTGCCCAGGACTGGCTTCAGACTGTGATCCTCTTATCTTTAGCTTCCTGAATAGCTGGAGTCAAGGTGCACATCACCACATCCTGCTTGTTTATTGAGATGGGAATCTTGCTAACTTTTTGCCAGGGCTGGCCTCAAACTGCAGTCCTCCTGATCTCTGTCTCTCAAGTAGCTGGAGTTATAGGCATAAGCCATTGTACCCAGCTTGTCCTATGATCTAAGAACCACGAAGGGTCTTAGGTCAGCGTGTGCATGTATGTGTGTGTCTCACATACACCCGCTTATATGGAGGCATGCATGAGATGCTACACCTCCTACCTATCCTAAGTTGAGAATGGCAGATGCAGTGAACTGTGGTTCATGGGGTTGCTTTCTATTCCTTGAAGATGCTGCAATAGAAACCAGGTGGAAAGCCAGCAATTTAGAATTTTTGTGGCCTCTTTAGGATGAGAAAACCCATGAGCACCCAGTTGCTAGAAAATGAGTGGGCAAGAGGAATAGGTAATGCCAAGGTCAGTCTCCAAAAACACATTCGTCAGGATTCTGGCCAGGTCTCAAAAGGCACCTACAGGGCTGATGGGAGTGGCTCAGTGGTAGAGTGCATGCCTAGCAAGTGTGAAGCCCTATGTTCAAACCTCAGTACCACCAAAATAAACAAACAAAAAGAACAAATCAAGAGGCACATACATCCAGAGCCAGGGCAAGGGTGAGGCCAGAGAAGCACTGAGAGCACACCCCTCCAAGGAGGCGTCATGCAAGCCCAGGACTGGTAGTACCTCACTGCCTCCCCTCTCTGGCCTTGTCAGCTTGCTAGTTCTGGGTCTGTCCATACCAGGAAACTATTTTATTTAAAAGAGAAATAGAGGGGTAGGAATTGGCTCACTCTATCTTTGCAATGTGTGGAGACAGAACAGATTATTAGATCACACTTTTCCACCACTCATGGGAGGCACAATCACCCAGCTATGACGAAGAAGTGGTCCATGTGCATTACACATGCTCCACACACTCACCTGGACAGTCGGCTTCATCACTCTCATCTTCACAGGTTGCCCAGCCGTCACACTGCCAGGGGAGGGGTATGCAATGGATGGCGCCACTGCGACAGGCAAACTGTCCAGGGTTGCACCGGAGTTCTATAGAACCAAAGGGCAAGAGACTATTGAGGAAGTAGCAGTAGGAGCAGAGACCTGGAGCAGCAAGTCCCTGCCACCAATAAGCCCTGGAAGGATGAGCCAGAGACCAGACAGCTGCCCATAACCCACTTCCTTGGGAGGGCACAGACACTCATTCCCAAAGGAAGGGTCAAGAATGGTTATAATACTGCAAGCTCAACTGCGGCAGGGCAGAGAGCAATACTCCTCCCAAGACAATCAATGTTGTGTGTCACTTCAAACAGACCCTGAGTTGTCATCAAACATCATCTAGATGTTCAGTGTGGGAGGTACTGTGGACCTTTAAGAGGTGGCAGAAGGTCCTCAGGTCACTAGGAGCATGACCTCAAGAGACTGTGCACCCTCACTTGCTTGCTCCCCTTCCTGGCTTGAGCTGTGAGCACTCACTCTGACACATGCTCTTGTCATGACGTGCTGTCCTCATCAGAGGCCCAAACCAGTGACCTGAACCTCCCAAATCATGAATCAAGACAAACCTCTGTTACTTCATAAGTAGCCTGGGTGAAGCATTTCATTGTGAAATGGTGAGGAGAAGCTGACTAGTAAAGCTTTGTACTGGGGTGGTGATGTAGCTCAGTGGTTAAGAGTTTGCTTAGCATGTATAGAAAGAGAAAGCTCTGTACTGACTGCAAAGGAGACGAGATGAGAGGATACACTGCTCACCTCCTAAGGGAGTCTAGGGCAACAGGAGGGGTGTACACACACACACACACACACACACTGACTCACTATGTTTCTCACAAAGAGCAAATGGCCAATAGGAACACTCACACAGCATGCCAAAATAATGTGAAGTGTGAAGGAGAGAACGATCTCCAACCCAGGGGCTCTGGAATACTTCTTTAAAAAGGTGTGATCTGCTTAGTGCAGAGGCTTATGCCTACAACCCCAGTTACTCAGGTGGCACAGATCAAGAGGATTGCAGTTTGAGGCTGGCCTAGGCAACAATGTGAGACCCTATTCAAAAATGTTTAAAGCAAAAAGAGCTGGGGGGTGGCTCAAGTGGTAGAGTGCCACAGTACCACCAAAAACAAAAACCCACAAACAAACAAAACACCTGGTGAGATTTGTAGATTTTCCAAGAAAGACGATGGTATCAGAAGTCACATATGATGTAGTAGGAACAGTGCTCCAGAAAAGGTAAGGCTTAACAAAACATTAGGGAGCTAGAAGCAGTACAGTAATAGTTTTAACTCCAGAAAGGAAGAAGAAAAAAAAGTAGCCAACCTAGAATTATTTAAAGCAAAAATGTGTGCAATGTATTGTCGGAGCTACAACATATGTATAAGTCAAATTTTGACATCACCATAAAAGCTATGAAGATAAACACAAGCATACTGTTTGAAGGCTCAAACTATTGGTATAGGGGTCTATCACTTAATGGCAGATTATATCAAGTTAAAGATGAATAGTACTAAGGTAACACAACAGGACTTATAGCAAATAAGCCAACAAAGACAAAATGGAACTAAAAGATCCAAAAAAAGGACAGAAAAATTGGAAAAATGAAACAAACAACAGATGGTACAAACAAAACAAATGACAACATGATAGATTTTAATTAAACCTGCCCCATCGATAAACATGGCGTGATCTAAACACCCTAAATGAAAGGCAGAATTTTTGTGTAGGTTAAAAAAGCAACAAAGCTTCACTATATACATATATACTATATATGATCCCAAATTTGCAATTTGTAACTTAGGACTTTTCAACTTTACAAAGGTGAAAAAGTGATTCATACCAGGCACCAGTGGCTCACACCTATAATCCTAGCTACTCAGGAGGCAGAAATCAGAAAGATCACAGATGAAGCAAGTCCCAGGCAAATAGTTCACAAGACCCTACCTCAAAAAAGTTCGTAACAAAATAAGGGTTGGTGGAGTGGCTCAAGTGTAAGAGCACATGCCTAGCAAGAATGAGGACATGAGTTCAAATTCCAATGTCGCCCCCCAAAAAAGGGGGAAATTCATATTCATTATAAGTTGAATTTCGGATTTTGATCTTTTCCAGGGTTAGCCAAAGGTGGTATATCATGATGCTGGGTAGTGGCAGCATGCCACAGCTCCTACTCAGTCACATAGTCACAACTGATACACTACAGTATACTATACTGCTAAGCTAGAATGTCTGGCAGGTTAATGAATTAAGGAGTGTCTATGTTGTCTAAAAGGAACTCGTTTCATGTAAGGATACAAATAGCTGAAAATGAAAGAATGGATAAAGATATACCATGTTGTCTTAGTTCATTTTCTGCTACTGTAACAGAATACCACAGGCCAGGTAAATTGCAAATAATAGTTCATTTGGCTCACAATTTTAGAGGCTGGGAAGTCCAAGATTAAGGGTCTGCATGCCCTAAACACTTGTTATAACAACACAGGCATTTTCTTTCTCCATACCCCTATCTCCTCCAAAAGCAAATGTTCTGGGATCAGCAGGCTTGCTCTGGAAAACAGCTCCTTCCCTCATACCCGCATTCACCCTGCCTTGTTTGCTTCTTAGTGTTTATCGTGTGTGTGTGTGTGTGTGTGTGTGTGTGTGTGTGTGTGTTTTCACCCGAGAGCTCAGGTTGTGTCTAAATCCAATCCATGCATATCAGGTAAGGCTCCCGAGACCCAGCCAACCTCCCCATCCCATGCTCCTTTGAGAACTGCATTTTAGAAGTCCATAGAGGACAATACAATTGACTGGACCAAGGACAGCCAACCTGCTCTAGGCTGGGCAAATCAGAGATTCTGTAGGCTGATGCACGAAGAGGAGGATGCAGGGAGCCAGGCTGAACAGCCACTCCAAGCAGCTATCCAAAAAAAGGCACCCTTCTCTCTTGGCTTTACCAATGCCCTATCTGTCCCAGGCTTTCTTCTGAGGACTGTCTCCTTGCTATACATAGAAGAGGCAGGCCAGCTCTTCCCAGCCAATGGATCCTTAATACTTTAGGAAATAATCCATGCCCTCTTCATCCAAGTACCAAAATAAGAAATTCTACCAAAATAAGAAATTCTACCACAATGGCAGTTCTCGAAGTTCTTCATGCCACAATTCCTTTGCATACTTTAATCTAAGGCTTCTTTATATGCTAAAATTACTGAGGATTCCAAAGAGCTTTTGTTAAGTGAGTTATGTCTATCAATATTTACAGTATCAGAAATTAAAGCAAAAATAATATAAACGCAAGAATCTCAAGCATATGCTCAAAAGATTAAACACAGAATTATTATATGACCTAGCAATTTCACTTATAGATGTATACCTGGTTTGGATATGCAGTGTGTCCCACCTTCCTCCTTGGCCCCCAAGGGCTCATGTATTGAAGGCTTAGTCCTCAGATAATGGCACTATTGAGAGGTGACTAGATCTTGAGGGTGTGATTGATTCATTTCCCCACTGCCATGAGGTGAGCAGCCTCCTCTGCCACACACTCTCACCGCCATGACACTCTGCCTTGTCTCAGGCCCAAAGCAATGGAGCTTGCCCACCTTAGACTGGAACCTCTGAAACTGTAAGCCAAAATAAATCTTCCCTCCTACAGTTGATTCCCTCAAAGGGAAAAGAGTCTTTCTAACAAATGATGCTGAGACAACTGGATATTCACCTGCAAATGAAGGAAAATGCCCCTCACCTAACACCATACATAAAAATTAACTCTAAATGGATCAAAGACCTAATGTAAGAGCTAAAACTATAAAACTCTTAGACAAACATAAGGAAAAAACTTTCTGACAATGGACCTGATGACAGTTTTTTGGATATGATATCAAAAGTATAGCAGCAAAAAAAAAAAAAAAAGAAGAAGACAATGTAGACTTCATGAAAAATAAACACTTTGGGCCTCTCAGGACACTATCACAGAGTGAAAAAAAAAAACAACCCAGAGTGGGAGAAAATATCTGCAAATCATATATGCAATAAGAAATAAGATGTTAATATTCAGAATGTATTGAAAAATACCTACAACTTAACAATAAAAAACCCAAAACTACCCTAAACAAAAATGGGCAAAAGACTAAATAAACATAAAGATGCTCAACAATAGAGTGATTAGAAAAATGCAAATCAAAACTACAATGAAATACTAACCACCTCAGATCCATCAGAATGACTATTTTAAACTGAAAATAAGTACTGGCAAGGATGGCAAGGATGTAGAGAAACTGGAACCTTAGGGCACTGCTGGTGGGAATGTAAAATGGTTCAGTTATTGTGGAAAACAGTTTGGCACTTCTTCAAAAAGTTAAACATAGAATTACCACACAAAGTAGCAATTTCACTCAAGAGAACTGAAAGCAGAGACTCAAACAGATAATTGTACACTAATGTTCACAGCAACACTATTTATGATAGCCAAAGATGGAAAACAACGTGTGTCCATCATTGAAGAGTAAACAAAATGTGGTATAACCACAAAACAGAATATTCCTTGGATATAAAAAGGAATGGTGTACTTATGCATACAACATGGATGAACTGGAAAACATTATGTTAAGTGAAAGAAGCCACTTATGAGAGACCACTGTTGATTACATTTACACAAAATGTACACAATAGGTAAATCTATATAAACGGAAGTAGATTAGGCCTTGCTAGGGGCTGGAGGAAGAAGAGAAGTTGTTTTGTCTAATGGGTATACAGTTTGTTTGGGATGATGAAAAAGTTCTGGAAATGGGCAGTGCTGACGGTTGCACAACATTCTGACTTAACACCACTGAACTGCATGCTTAAAAATGGTTAAGGGCTGGGAAGGAAGTTCAGTGGCAGAGTGCTTACTCAACATGTGTAAACCTCAGGTTCGACTGCAAAATAAAAACTGAAAATAAAAATGGTTAAAATGGACCAGGCTCTGATGGCTCACGCCTGTAATCCTAGATAATTCGGAGGCTAAGATCGGGAGGGTCGCAAATAGTTCTAGAGACTCCCATCTCCAAAATACCCAGAGCAAGATGGACTGCAGAGGTAAAGCG